TCCTCATTTCCGCAGCTGTCCCAGGTTATTTTACGTGTGGAAACTATGCTGGTCTGTGGTAAGAAAGGATCTTTCAGGTGTTTGGGGGCATGTAGTTAGAAACAGGTATGCCCCTTGAGAAATAAGGAAAAAATGAGATACGTTTTCTCTGTCTATTAATTAAGAACTTAAGTGACAGGTATTGTTGTGTGACAATTTATACAGGCAGTTAAGGCGGACTTGGTTTCCATGCCCGAACCAGATTTCCCAAACTATATTGAAACAGTGTCTTCTTCTTTTTATTTTTAATGCAAACCTCTACTTCATGTTTGTCAGTACCAACATTCAGAAAGCCCTATGGACTGGCTACTTTTAAAATTTGGCTTTGGCTTTCCAGGATGTGTGTGTGTGCCCTGACAAGACATCTGTACAGCTGGGAAATCAGTTCTTTTCTTTTTATTATTATTGGGGTTTCTTCTATTGCCTCCTATTTATGGCAAGTCAGCCCATCTCATATTTTGTCTTCCTCTTTTCCGTCTGTCTTCAACTTTTCCCAGAATTATATTTTCCAGAGGATCTTGCCTTCTCATGATATGCCCAATGTAAGAAAGTCTCATTTTCATTGTTTTTCTTTTTTTCCAGAACAACCCATAGTTTCTTATGATGCACACAGTCAAAGGCTGTCTGATAGTATTTGACCAGATCTTGAATGATAGTCCCTAATTGCCTGTGTTACATATTGCCTCAGTACAGTACTAGAAACAGTACACTCTGTTTCTTTCGGGTTTATCACTTCCAGAGAAGTACACTTTGAGCTGTTTGACTGAAAATGCCCTATTCCAATCCACTTTCGTTCACTGACACCAAGCACTGCAATGTTAATACATTCCATTTCTTGTTTTACAGTTTCCAGTTTTCGTTGATTTATACTTCTTGTGTTCCATGTTCCAATTGTATGTATTGTGCAGCATTGGACTTCCTTTTCACCCCTGTGATTGTCAGCTATTGGACGTCTTTCTGGATTTAATTTAGTC